TGAGCGTGCACGCCAGTACGTTCCAATTCTCCTCCCAATCATCAAAATCTCCCCCTAACTAACCTCCATCTCCCTCACGACAGTTCCGCATCCACAGGATATCACTCGCTCAACCGCCGCCCAACTCGCACCACAAGGTCAAGGCCAAAACATCGCAACCCTCCTCCAAGACCTACTTCAGCGGGTCCAAGGAGGCGGCACAGGCGAAGGAGTAAAGCGGTTGAAGGATCTGCTAGAGAACTTGACTGGTTCTGGTCGAGATCAAAACTCCGGAGCTGGCAAAGGAGGTAACTCTGGTGGAGGCGGAAACAACAATACTGAGGGCAATAACAATAACGCCGGTGGTGATGCTGATGATGAAGGCAATGCCGGCAGGGGAGAGCTCATCATATCTACCACCAGCTTGAGCGGCGATGATGCGGTGGGAGGAGAAACCGAGACAGCAGCACCGGCGACGACTCAGACGGCGACAGCGGTGACATCGGTTGCGGTCGTGGAGGAAAGTACGGAATCTGCGACTCAAGCACCATCGGTGTCTGAGTCCGCTATCGCTTCTGAGGATACTGAATTGAGTTCAGTATCCGCAACTCCCACTCAAACTGGTCCTGCGACAGTATCTGAATCCCAACCCGCCGACAAGACCGCATCCGCTACTATTCCACCAGCCTCAACCGAAACTCCCACCGAAAGCTCAGGTGACTCGGGCGAAGAGGGTGCAGCGGTAACGTGTCCTCCCGCCGAAGCTACCGGTATGTATACCTCGTCTCCCGATCGGTCACCAGCAATGTCTGGTGTTTACCGGACTACTCTACAGCAAGAGCTGATGAATGGGGATGAAAATAGTAACGGTTACAACCACGGTTACGGCCATTATACGTGAAACGGGGGCGGCGCGGGGGGGTGCGAGGGCCAGGAAGAATCGCGGTGCCACGCAGAGGGCGGGGAGGGCGGAGAGGAAGGCGGCGAGGGTGAGGGAGGAGGCACAGGCGGAGAGGGAATGATGGAGGGTACGGGGAATGGGGGATGGGCGAGGATGAGGTTAGGGGGGAAATGGGTTGCCGGGGATAGATGAGAAAGTGACATAAAGGTTTATGGGTCGTTCATTGAGACAATGGCAACATCATCAATAATAGTGGTCAATATTGTAACACAACGGGTGTAACACTCAGCAACTAAATTTCCCACAACGGCAATAACTTCATGGGCATCACACTTCAATGTTCCCATTGCATTATCGTTGTTTCGAGTACTAGTACATCCTCCCACATATCCTCAGCCCCATCCCCATTCTCCTCTCCTCCCACGCCTCCTCTCCACTCCACGCCTCCCCCTAGCTCCCAATAACCCCCCCAGTGACCGCTCTCCTTCCCGGGCCTCCACCCGCCGAACCCCCGAACTCGACCTCAAGCCCCCATCCACTCGCCACCTGCCCATCATGACCCATCACCACCACGTGTCGCCAACTACCGACAGCACAACACAGACCGCGTCCGTCCGCGTCCGTCCGTGCCAACTCTTCACGCAATTCCGCACTCCAGCCTCGCGACCAGGTTCCAAGTATGATAGAGATTTTTGGGGGTCTCGACTACGCCATCGGAGATTCACATGCCAGCGATCGTTGCGCCGCCGACGCTGATGGCCAGGATCCAGCGAGGTGGCCCACGTTTTCGGGTTTATCGAGCTTGGAGGGAGCTTGGTGGAGCTCCGAAGATAGCTCCCGCCTGAGCTCTGAACGCCGCTATCGTGGGACTAGAGCTTGGAGCTTGGGGCTAAGATAAAATAAATGAAGCAGGTAGAAAGATGGGTTGAGGTGAGATGAGACGGGAAGCTCACCTCAGCGATGAGTAGCTACAATACTGATGCTGCCTGACGGAATTGCACTTGCTGAGTAGAGTAGATTTGATACCTGGGATCCTCTAAGCTTCGAGGCGAATCCAATGGATTGACTAGACTACCACGCCGCCAACGTTTCGGGCGGAGTTTCGATATCTCGTTCTTTGCAAGATGGGACGTTCGAAATCACCCCACTGGGCAGTCAACCTAGGCACACACAATGCAATCTTCTATCATCATCCACCTAAAAAAACTCCGAAGTGTCACAAAATCTCTCTCCCGGCACCTCCCACGATCTTCCTCAACATACGACCATCACCCTCACCGCATCCAGCTATCCCATCCGAAAAACACAATCGCGAGATGGGCGAGATGATTGGGTGCAGTGTGCCAACCATGCGTTGCGGTGCAAACATGAACGAAAACCTGGACTCCGGCCGCAGCGGAATGAGGCGAGTGGGTGCGGATCGGACCGGAGATTTTTTTAGTGCGCGCTAGATGGAAAAAATTGGGCGAGGTGATGTTCGATGGATGATGCGGGTTTGGGCGCCTGATGTGATGCTGGGCTGTGGACGGAGTGCGGAGGCCGGGGATACGAGGGTGGGCTGTGGCTGAGTAAGGGCGCGCGCGCAGTGGGATGGTGGTGGGTGATGGGAAGATGCCGCGGTTGAGGGAATGGATTGTGATTGTGTTTTCGGATTGTGTTTTCGGATTGATGTTTTTTCGTGCCGTTTGTGGGTGGAGAGGGAGATGGGTTGTTTGGAGATACTCGAGACGGTTGCGGTTCGAACTCATGATGAATCTATTAATTCAGACCTTACAACACAGCTGGACTCCTGAAACCCCATTGTGTAGACTCGGCCATATTCCAAACGGCTACAATCCTCACCATCCTCCTCAATCATCCATCATTCGTCTCCCCATCTCACCATCCCAACCCTCCTCTCTTTCTCGTTTCCCAACATCCAACCCCGCACGCGCCTCCTCTCCCTCTCCTCTCCCCTTCTCTCCTCGCCGTCCCTCACCAGTCACCCGCCACCCCCACGTGCCCCCAATCATCGTTTGCTCTCCGTCCCTCGCCGCATGCTGCCATGGTGGGGGGACATCACCATCCACACCGCCTCGCATCCTCGGCCTCCGGGCGCACCCGCCACCATGCGCAATTCACGCTTTGGTGCCCGCGCCACACCGTCCGCGCTCCAGGCCAGATATAAAAGACGAGGGGACGAGCACCGGGAGAAGGGTTTTTTTTTCCCATCATCATACAAACATCTGTGCGATACACAACAAGCGACAAAGCAACTACGTATACGAGATTTCGACTTCGTCAAGTGTCGAGAAAAACAAACAACCAAGCTACTACTACAACAAACCTATACGAGAAGAGTCAGCAACATCAAATCGAATCGGATTTTTTTTCCAAGACTCTGAACAACAACAACAACCACCTCAAGAACCTCAAATTCAAATCAACAGCAATGAACGGCGAACATCACGAAAGGTCCGTCTCCCATCCCTTCCTTTCTCACAACACACCTACTAACATATCTCTCCAGCAACCTAACCCGCACCCTCTCCACCCAATCCGGTCTCTCCTCCTCGGATGCACACGAGCTCGAACTCACACTCGCCTCCCTCACCACCCCCGCCCCGTCAACCGCTCCACCCACAATGTCAAATCAACACGACACCCTCACTCGCTCACTCTCCACCGAAAGTGGTCTCTCACAATCCGACGCGTCTGATCTGTGTTCGAGTCTCGAGGAGCTGGTGGACGAGGAGCCGCGACCGCAAAATGAGGCCGAGAAGCGGAGGAAAATGAAGGGTGAGATGAGGAGGAGGAGGTGTGTGGATGGGTTGGTGATGGAGGCCGGGATGTCGAGGAAGGGAGCGGAGGAGATGGTGGGTGGGTGGGAAGAGGTGTTTATGTTTTAATTGTGTGTGAGAGAGAGAGAGAGAGTGTGTGTGTGTGTATTGGGGAGTTTCTTGGGATTCATGTAGCGGCCGGCGTTTTGGGTTCTTTCTTTTGTGATTATTCAGGGATTAGAGATGGGCTGGGTGGAGTTTCTTTTGTTCTCTTGAAGCATGCATTGAGAGGTGTGGTGGAAACTTATGATACCAGGTTGAGGGCTATTGATGGGCGATTTGGATACGTGGGGTTTCTTTGCGTCACATTGTAATGGAAGTATTGGAGAAGAATCTGTTTTCTGAGGAATGAAACTAGAACGTAGACGGTCAAAAGAGTAGATACAACAAGAGGAAAAACATTTATCCAAAATCTCGACCACGGCACTTTGAGACTCGGGATATGAACGGCATGAACTCTGATACATGACATGACTGCATCACGGCCGAGAGATTAGACCGCAGAAAATGGCCTCCAGATGAGATGCCGGTCACCGCACGTTGAATTTCCCCGTCGGCCACGACAACAGCCGCGCTGGTTCGATCCACGCAAAGTTCAGTCTTTCCCATTTGTTTTCATCACCCCCACCCAATCTCCTAACAATCATCAGCAGCACATCCGCCGGCTGAATGTAGCACCCAAGATATCCACTGAGAAACTGCTGGTGTCTTCCGACGACGACCGCTCTCATCATGGTGCTCAGTTCATCGCCGGTAGCGGCATTAGGATCTGGAACGATTCTCCACTTTTCCCCTCCATGGAGCGCAGTGACAGTATCGTCCTTTTCATCCGGATCTACCTTGACGACTTGGCTGCACTGGCCTTCAAATGAAAACCATCCGTCGTCGTCAATGCTTCCTCTCACTGCATCTTTCACCCACCAACACCCCTCGTCAAGATGCTCGCCGACCTGCTTCCCGTCCACGGCCGCTTTTCCATTCACATCTTTCGGAAACTCTGGGATGATGGTGATCCCGCGCTGGGGCCTCAGCTGTGGAGCGGCTCCCAGCCAAATTGCTGTACCACCGGCACCATCTCCCTTCAACACCTCTCTCAAGGAGTGAGGCGATGGTTGATGGCGGTTGAGCAACGAGTCTGGGGATCAGGGAGTCTCGAACAACACCTGTAATGGTGGATATGGTTCGAGCAGATGACGATGGATGGAAGGAGGATTTTCAAGGAAAAAAAAAATAATGGTAGATGAGGTGTCGCAGGGGAGGGAGTAGTGAGGTATATTAAAAAAATAAAAAATAAAAATTATAGGTCGCAGCCGGGATCGAACCGACAATCTTTGGAAACCAACTGTCGCCGAAGTCCAACGCCTTGCCATTAGGCCATGCGACCGCTGATATATGTGCCTTTGTTATTTGTACATCTTGTCACTTTATTCACAGGCGCTGCGGCCGCCTGTGGAGACGCCGGTGGGCATAGGAGAGTCTAAGTACACCGCAGTTTACCGCAGTGTACAGCTCAAAAGGCGGCCACTGCAAAGGCAGCAAGGTCGGCGAGAAAATGGTTGAAAACGGATGAAACAGAGTTTTTGAGTAGATGCAGTACAACACTGCGGAAAGGGGACGCTTTGTATGTTAGTTCTCGCGCCATATCCCAAAGGGACGCATGCGCTAAAATGATTACAATCAATCAATCAATCAACCGCCTGTGGAGACCCCCAGCGGTACAAGCTCAGAAAGTCTACCAGGATGGATCCAGCAGCTGCGAAAGCCCGGAAAGAAGTCGCTCTACATTACTACAGATTTGTGCCAGACCGTGCAGTCACAGCAGTTTACCTGAAATCAATAGGGAAGAGAGATAGCGACGAGTGCTGGTGGTGCGAAGGAGCCCGCCAGACCCGTGACCACCTGTTCAAGGAGTGTAGAACATGGAGAAGGGAGCAAGAGGGGCTGTGGAACACGCTGAGGAAAGAAGGGTTCATGAAGACGCACGCGTTGTCGACAATCTTCGCGGAACCCTGGGCCCCCGGCGATTCTAAACTTCATCAAGGTCACAACTCAAAAGGCGACCATTGCCAATGCGAAGAGTCGGCGAGAAGAAGGGTTGACAGTGTACGAACATTTGTGTATTCAGGAGGCCTGTAAGAAGCAGAATTATAGGGGAGGGGGAGGGTGGAGGCTGTAGTGTAGTTGACGCCCCATATCCCAAAGGGACGCATGCGCTCAAATGATGTCAATCAACCAATGGTCTCTTTTTATGTGAGTACCAGTCCCAGACAACTCATCTGAGTCTCTTTTATAACTTACCTTCTCCGCTCAGGTATCTTCCTTATTTCCACCGGAGCGCCTATTGTTTCAAGTGCTCATGCTAACTTGGACCGCATGTTAATGTTTATAGCACTTATTCTTTACTTGGAACGTGTCTCCACCGGGGTCTTTACGCCAAACCGTACCGCGAGGAGATGTCACCCACCCTTGAATCTGACGGTCGATGGTTCATCCCGTCTTAAGAAAAGCAGATGACAGATGGGGTCTTGTATTGTTACAAAGGTCTGCCTGGGTATCACCGACACAGGTTTAATGTCGATACGGAACCCGATTGCGCATCTTGACTCACTTTTCAGAACCCAAGAGCAGAGCTGAGGAAGTAAGGCATTGACCTACGTGCTGACTCCTCTGAATCACAGCTCGTCATATCTACGTCTCTCTCACCGATCCATCCACACCTCCCCTTCTCTCGGTCATCTCCCCCTCCATCCCGCTGTCAACTACCTCAGCGGCTCCATACGAGCAGAAGACCACAGTTGGATATTCCCCGGCGTCGTCTCAAAAATCATTTCCGCTGCTCCGACAACCAGTCGTCATCCGCCTTAGTTCTCCGCTTCTTCCCCAACGTCCTCAACCTCTCCCGATTACACGGCAGCTTGAGGAGATCCCAACCCCCTCAGGCTTCCTTTTCCCTAGAAATTTTTTGTTGGGTCTGCGTCTCATCCACTATAATCCCTCCGACGTTGTCCTAATACCCCATGTCACATTACATCCTCATCCCACTGATGATGGTGACACTTAGGGCGACAACTAACCTACTAGTACTTTAAGGCCTTGCTCTCAACCTCCTCCAACAACATCAATATCGGCTCCATTCATTTCCAAACCACAACCATGCAAGCATGTAAAGTTTTTGACTATGTGACTATATACACTACCCTAGCTTCCCACTATTTCCACAACCTCCATGACTCTGTACCTCATTGTAATGGATTCGCCTCACTTGCTTTCGTTTCCCCTTCACTATGCGATACTGGATTATCGGGTCTTTGCCAAAATATTTCTGTAGTATGCCATTTTCGGCGTCATCACGGTAGTCTTCGACCTTGCAGAACCATACGCTGAGATCCATGACAACGCCATTAGTTTGATGGTTTGGTTGCACTGATTCATCTAACGGCGGGTCAGCAAAAATACGTCATTGTTGTCGCCAGGTTATTCCACGAATCCGGGGCTCCAGCAAGCATGGAGGGATACGCCAACTTCGTTCCGTATGTTCCGAGTACCTATCCCATATTGATGGGCAAAGTTTCCTACGAGAATGGTCATAGACCTGAACACATCAGTCATTGCCCGAAGATAATTCCCGACGACGATCAACACTTTGAAAAGTTCCCTCAAACTCTCACACATGACCCATTATAGTCCAAACCCAGGCACGATCTCGAGACGCTGTGGAAACGACGAATGCCAGAGGTCTGGAGGTCCGTCACCATCTGTCACTCAAGCCGGTTACAGCCAACACACACCTGATCTTGTCGTTTCTCTCGTATAGTGCATCCCTGGACTGATAAAAGTACGTCTCATGGCCATTACTGCTGTTCAGGGTATATATGCACAGCCCGATACCCCAACTGAGCTCGGAAGGGCCCTGACACACGTGGATAATCACTTTTTTTTTTTCCTCGGCACAACCTTGAGATTCCGCAATAGTAGTTTTCCACAGCTCGTCCCATGCGATATTTTCTCCAAATGTATCTATGTATGCAATGGTTCCGGATATATAAACCATACAGTAGCTAATCGTAGGTACCGTCTTCGAGTCGTCATGCAATAATCGCAATGTCTGGTTCGCCATACTACGATACAACAGGGTCTCGAACAATCGCCTCAAAAATTCCCGGGACAAAGGCTCTGGTGGAGTATGTCGTGTGCTCGGCCCCTGTTGATTTTGGGACATCCACTGAGTCTATATTAGCCATCTGCAATAGCCAGCATGCCAAAGGCTGCGAAGAAAGCTAACCATGAAACATAAGGAGGAAAATGCCTCCTGGAAGTGAAGGACGGCAAAAATGATATACATCGATTCCCGAAGGAGGAGCGCTCTGTGGTCCATTGACAGGCGCACCTGAACCGTAGCGCCGTTGAATCGTTCACTTGGGTGTCCAAGAATCTTTGCTGTGTCTGAAGAGCGTGTTTTATCCTGCGATTCCATTGTTAATGAACCATTGCCCGTGATCACAATTGCCTGAATTGTGATCGGTTGTGTACTCCAGACTGGCGCATTCACCAGGGCGTTGAGAGGCGAGATGACCATCATGTTGATGACGTTCGATAGAATTGGCATCTGATAGACCCATGAATTTCCACCGGATGTATTGATCATGCAGAATAACTTGCACAATACTTCAGTACTGCTGCGACACGGAATTCCCAGATGCTCATCCACTCGAGGAGTCGGATCTGGTATGCGTTAGCTCAGTCCATAGTTTGACCTCCCGGATACAAGTCAAACTTACAATAATGGTGGCCATCATCCACATTCGGGTTGCCGCAATGCTAAGAGCTTCCATGTGCTGGACTTGGTCCTTCATCAGATCATTCAGAGGCGAACCGATCATGAGTTCGGTGTCGTTTACAATGCAGAAAACATCTCGCAATACTGTAGCGCTCTCGCAACGCGAACTTTCCTGCGCGACCTCGCCCGAGCTGATATGTGTTAGTGAAGTTCATCTCCCAACCCTCCAATACTCAAGTTACCCACCAAACCAAGCACCATGACATGAACATCAACCGGTTCAACAAGAGCCACGCTCCCCAAAGTTGAAGACTTCACCAAGTCATCATGGTCAATATGTCCTTCGTTCCAAAAATCAAACGACATCTTGGTGTTGGATAGACATATCCGGCTGCTCTGCGCATCCACAGTGAACCGGTATCCATATTCCCTCTTACTGTACGGCCAACCATTTTGGCAGTTGCAAAGGTTTTGATGGCTTGTGAAATGCATAGTACTCTACGTCAAATTAACCCTGTTGAGACGTGAAGATGCTCAAGCTGCGTTGTATTCTTCCACCAGCAGGGTAGCAATTCGGCGATCTTCGCAACGTCGCCTTTCACAGAAGTGTTGGAGCCCTGAGCTCGGTATGTGCTAGTTCTGCAGGTACTGTGTCGTGTTCGAGCGCGTTGATGGTCGCCTGGTGATGGCTGGCGCAGTTGATAGGAAATATTGAGAAAAGACCTCGTGTGATGTGTGGGAAGTTGGGGATTCCAGTTGTTGGAAGTTGTAGAGAAGAGGTCCTGGATAGTGTTAGTTAGGTAGCGAACTGAGTGGCCCAGTATCGGGAGAGGTAATAGTACGAACTGTGGGGATGAGAGTGTGACGGAACGATTGGAGGAAAGTTGAGGATGATCGGAAAGGGTGGGTGACAGGTGGGAAGGGTGATTGCAAGGTGAAAAGGTTTGCTGGTCTGGAGAAAGGTGGTATGGAACGGGGAGTTTGACAGTGGCTTCCACTCCTTTCCATGTGAGTGACACGATGTGACAGACATCCGAGTGTGTATAGTTCTTTCGCGATTAGATATTACAGCGTGGGTACTGATACTCTAGATCTCCAGAACTGAGTGAATTATCCTGGATGCCCTTTGTTTGTTCTTCACCACCGCCATCTTCTTCACAGACGTTCATCAAACGCCTCTTCATCCCGATCCCCCCCAAAAACGCCACAGCCGCTCCCCCCAATGCGGTTCACCACCTCATTGACCTCTTCTATTCTCATCTCCGCCCGTACGAGTTTGTACCCCGTCTCCTCGATCTTCAGTTGCGCCCCGCAATCCTTTCCACTACCACGTACTTCCACCACACTCAACATCCTACAACGAGTTTTCTCCCTCGCAGTCCCTCCTCTCCATCCCCAGCCCACACCATCATCTCTTCAAGGTACGCACCCTCCATTCCCTCACCATACGCAGAAGCTGACAACGATTCCCAGTCCCTACACCAGGACGCAACCCTTCACTGGCAACCACTGCCATCGCCCCTCTCACTCTTTTTCATCCAGAATCGTCGCCATGTCTCTACAGGTTGGACATTTCCCCTTTCCTCGCTGCAATAGCAGAAAAAACC